CAGTATTTGACTTTCTCTGACTTACTTCACTTAGCATATTGTCTTCAGGCCCATTCAAATTGTTGCAAATGGTAGGGATTGTTCATGTTTTATGGCTGAATGATCCATTATACATATATAATACTATATAATATATATATATATTTATATATATTATATATATATATAGTAAACTCCTTTATGCAGTCATCAACGGATAGACACTTAAGTTGTTTCCATGACTTGGCCATTACAAATAAGGCTTCAATGAACATGGTGGTACAGATATATTTTTGAGTTAGTGTTTTTATTTCCTTTGGATATATTCCCAGAAGTGGAATTTCTGAACTATACTGTAGTTCTACTTTTAATTTTTGAGAATCCCCCATACTGGTTTCCTTGTGGCAGTACCAAATTTCAATCCAACCAACAGTGCACAGGAGTTCCCTTATCTCCACATTCTCATCAATACTGGTTATCTATCATGTTTGATGGTGCCCATTCTAATAGATATGAATTGATATTGCATTTATGGTTTTAATTTGCATTTCCCTAATGACTACTGATGTTGAACATCTGACAGTTCTAGCAAAGAATTAAGGAAAGTGAGGAAGTGAACTGGAAGAGAAAATGAATGCCATTATGATGGGAGGGGGTTGGATTATTTTCAGATGTTTAAGACAAAGACAATACCATTATTTCTCCTTAAGCTCTGATTTCATCACTTACTAAAAAGGAGGCTCTGACCTGAGCTTATTATTCACATAAACTCAAGTTTAAGCACATGCATTGGGTCATTGGATCATTGATTTTCTTCTTTATTTTGACTTTTTTGTTCTTTTTTTGCCTTATCAACTGTTGGTCATTGTCTTTTTATTCCCGTCACTCAATCAGTCAATCAATACCATCCCTACCATTATCCTTATAATCTAACTTATCTTGTTTATGATATTTTGGTGATCTGGATTCTCCCTTTATCTCAGCATTAAGGATCTTCTGCAACATTTGTCTTTACTCTTAGTCTTAAATACCAAAATCGGATTACTTGATTGTTGCCAGGGTTCTTTTCCTTTCTGGTAGTTCCCCAATCGTAGAGTCTTTAACCTCTTATTAAATCATTCCTTACATTCCACTTATATCACCTCCATCCAAGGAAGTCTGGATGCTACAATTACTTTTTAATTAAATCTGCATGTTTGGAAGGAGGGTTAAAATGGCAGAGGAGGAATGGGTTGACCCCAACCTTGCCTTCTCCCTCTAACACAGCTAGAAAAATATCAGATCATCCTGAATATCCAAGAGATCAAAGTTCTTAGAGAACAAAGCTGCACATCTACAAGCAGGAAAAACAAAAACAAAACAAAACAAAACAAAAAACAAAACTTTGGAAGGTAGGAGATGTAGGAGGATTGATGTGGGTGAGAAAAGAGCCGCAGGTCCTATGGAGTGGATGAGAGAGAAAAAAAAAAAAAAAAGAGGTTGTGGGAGTGGGGGTGAAAACATGCACAGGGGACTGCACAAGAACTGTTCCCTAAAACCATTTCCTGGGGAAAAAGAGAGATTTTTAAATACTGCCAGCTCTTTATAAATAGTGGAGTGTAGAGTCTGAAGTCCCAGAAGTCAGCACTATCTCCAGGGTCAGCCCGGAGAACTGAATGGTGCTCTGGTGGGGGAGGAGGGAACAGGCAGCCAGAGTCTATGGGTCCTCTGGTTTGCATGTGGCAGAAGTGGTTCCCCTGTTTGGAATACATTTGGTAGGAGTGATCCAGCCACTCTGCAGGCAAAAGACACTGTAGAAACCATTGAACTGTCCCATTCACCAGCATAAGAACAGAAACATAGGCTGAGGGCAGCAAACTCTGTTATCATCTGTGTGTTGTGATTTTCCCTAAACTCTGAAACCCTGTGCAGTCATGGGACCATTTTCTGGAACAAGCTGGCACCAGCTGCAGTGCAGCAAGGCCCACCTCCAGAAGATCAGCATGGGTCCATGCATCGGGGTCTCTGAAGTTTGGGGCTTTGAAACCAGCCATGCCTGAGATAAAATATAGGAGTGCTGCCCTGCCTGGCAGGCAAACATCTTGGACAAAGGGTGAATGCGGGGATCTGATGGAAGCTGGGGACACAGGAGGGATGATTGTTTGCTCATCCTTGAGGGCTTCCTGAAGAGTTGTGGGCTTGAGCTCCCCTTTCTGGAGACAAGAAATCGAGGCAAATCCATTTGTACCACCTACCAGCAGCCTGACCTCAGTGAGACAAAAACAATGCCACCAAGTGGTCACCAGAGCCACTTACACCAAGACCTACCCCTCTGTACCCTGTAGGTGCATCTCCAGTAGGAAAAGTCCACCTGAGAATCAGAGCAGTAGGCCCCTCCCCAGAAGACCAGGACAAACCCCTTGTGCACACCAAGTCTACTGATCATAGAGGGTTGCAAAATTTCAACTCCAGGGGAAATAGGATCTAACTATGGGTTTGTTTATTTGTTTGTGTTTTGTTTTTTGGAAACAGAAAGCAGTTATTTTATTGTTTTTAATTATTTTTAATTTTTTATCCTTTTTTTTCTTTTTTTTCTATTAAACTTCTCTTAATAAGCAAACCAAACACACCTAAGATCTACACTGATTGATTGATTGATATTTTATTCTATTCTATTTTATTTATTTTACTTTTTTTCCCCTCTAAAATGATATGAAATAGGAATTTAGCCCATAAGAAAGGCCAGGAATTTCTTATGGAATTTACCCCATAAGAAAGGCCAGGAAGAAATGATGGTTCAGATATCAGTAAGATATCTGAACTATAATTTAGAACAACGGTTATAAGGATATTAGGTGGGCTTGAAAAAAGCTTAGAAGACATTAGCAAATCACTTACTACAGATATAAAAGTAGTAAAATCTAGTCAGGCTGTACAACCAAGATGTAAACCCAAATGGTCACCATAACAATGAAGATGGATGAAACAAAGGAATGAATCAGTGATGTAGGAGGTAAAAGTATGGAAAATATTGAAGCTGAAAAGAAGAGGGAAACAAAGATAATGGATCACAAAGATAGACTTATGGAACTCAGAAATTTATTAAAACATAGTAACATTCATATCTAGGAATCCCAGAAGATGAAGAGTGAGAGAAATGGGCAGAAGATTTGTTTGAGCAAATTATAGCTGAAAGCTTCCCTAAGCTGGGGGAGGACTCAGACATCAAAATCCAACAAGCACAAAGAACGCCCATTAAATTCAACAAAAGCTAGCCACCATCAATCCATATCTTAGTTAAATTCACAAATACACAGACAAAGAAAGAATCCTGAAAGCAGCAAGGGAAAAATAGATCTTAACCTACAGGGGTAAACATATTGGGTTCATAGCACATGTGTCCACAGAAACTTGACAGGCCAGAAGAAAGTGGCAGTATGTGATAAATGGGCTGAGTGCAAAAAATATGCAGTGAAGAATACTTTATCCAGCAAGCTATCATTCAGAATAGGAGGAGAAATAATTTCCCAGACAAATGAAAAATAATGGAGTTCCTGACCACTAAATCAATCCTGCAAGAAATATTAAGGGGGAATCTTTGTGTGGGGGAAAAAAAAGACCAAAAACAACAAAGAATAGAAAGGAACAGAGAACTTCAACAGAAACACCAACTTTACAACACAATGGCACTAAATTCATGTCTTTCAATAATCATTTTGAATGTGAATGGACTAAGTGCTCCAATCAAAAGACATAAGATACCATCTATATACTACCTACAAGAGACTCATTTTAGACCTAAAGACACCTGCATATGGAAAATGGGAGATGGAGAACCATCCATCATGCTAATGGATGTCAACAGAAAGCCAGAGTAGCCATACTTATTATATCAGACAAACTAGATTTTAAAACAAAGACTGTAACAAGGGATGAAGAAGGTCATTATATCATAATTAAGGGATCTACCCATCAAGAAGATCTAATAACTGTAAATATTTATGCACCCAAATTGGGAGCATCCAAATATATAAACAATTGATAATGAAGATTAAAGAAACTCACTGATAATAATACAAAATAGTAGGGGATTTTAACATCCTACTTACAGTAATGGAAGATATTCTAAGCAACAAGGAAACAGTGGCTTTGAATGACACATTGGACCAAAGGGAATTAACAGATATATTCAGAACATTTCATTCTGAAGTAGCAGAATGCACATTCTTGTTGAGTGCACATGGGTATTCTTCAGAAGAGATCACATAATGGGTCACAAGTCAGTCTTCATGTAGTACAAAAAGATTGAGATCATACCATTGCATATTTTCAGATCACAATACTATGAACCTGAAGTCAACCACAGAAAAAATTTGGAAAGTCCACAAATACATGGAAGTTAAAGAATATCCTACTAAAGACTGAATCAATTAACCAGGACATTAAAGACAAAATTAAAAACAAAATTTCATGGAAGCCAATGAAAACGAAAACATGACAGTCCAAAACTTTGGGATGCAGCAAAAGCAGTCCTAAAAGGGCAGTATAGTGTGATACAGGCCTGCTTCTTCCTTGCAAGAAGCAAGAAAAGTCTCAGATATACAACTAACCATACACCTAAAGGAGTTAAGAAAGGAGGAGCAAAAAAGCTTAAAACCAGCAGAAGAAGGGAAATAATAAAGATTAAAGCAAAAATAAATAAGATATACAAAGCAAAACAATACAGTAGAACAGATCAATGAAGCTAAGAGTGGTTCTTTGAAAGAATTGATAAAATTGATAAACCCCTAGTCAGACCTATCAAAAAAAGAAAAGACCCAAATAAATAAAGCCACAAATGAAAGAGGAATGATCACAACTAACACCGCAGAAATACAAGTAATTATGAAAAATTATATGCCAACAAACTGGACAATCTGGAGAAATTTTTAAAAATCCTAGAAACATACAAACTATCAAAACTAAAACAGGAAAAAATAGAAAATTTGAACAGATCCATAACCAGAATAGAAATTGAATCAGTAATCAAAAATCTCCCAACAATCGCTTCTCAGCCTTTTGGCTAAGATCAAATGTAGTATCTGTTCTTATCAGTTCAAAAATCTCCCTACAAACCAGGGCCAGATGGCTTCCCAGGGGCATTCCACCAGACATTTAAAGAAGAGTTTACACCTCTTTTTCTCAAAATGCTCCAAAAAATAGAAATGGAAGAATAACTTCCAAACTCATCCTACCAGGCCAGCATTATCTTGATTCTAAAACCAGAGAAAGACTTCAGTAAAAAGGAGAATTATAGGCCAATATCCCTGGTGAATATGGATGTAAAAATTCTCAAGATACTAAGAAACTGAATTCAACAGTGCATTAAGAGAATTATTCACCATGATCAAGTGGGATTTATTACTGTGGTGGTTCAATATTTGCAAATCAATCATGTGATACACTGCATTAATAAAAGAAAGAATAAAAATTATATGATCCTCCCAACAGATGCAGAAAAAGCATTTGACAAAGTATAACATCCATTCTTGATAAAAATCCTCAATATAGTAGGGATTGATGAAACAAATCTCAATATCGTAAAGGCCATATACAAAAGACCCACAGCTAATATCATCCTCAATGGGGAAGAACTGAGAGCCTTTCCCTTACAGTCAGGAACAAAACAAGGTTGTCCACTCTCACCATTACTATTTAATATAGTACTGGAAGTCTTACCTTCAGCAATCAGACAACAAAAAGATATAAAAGACATCCAGATTGGCAAGGAAGAAGTCAAACTCTATTTATAAATGACATGATACTCTATGTTGAAAACTTGAAAGACTCCACCAAAAAAACTGCTAGAACTGATAAATCAATTCAGCAAAGTCACAAGATATAAAATCAACATATAGAAATCTGTTGCATTTCTATACACCGATAACAAAGCAGCAGAAAAAGAAACCAAGGAACTGATCCCATTTGCAATTCCACCACAAGCTATAAAATACCTAGGAATAAGCCTAACCAAAGAAGTAAAAGATCTGTACTCTGAAAACTATAGAACACTTATGAAATAAATTGAAGATGACATGAAGAAGTGGAAAAACATTCCATGCTTATGGATTGGAAGGACAAATATGGTTAAAATGTCTATGCTACCTGAAGCAATCTGCACACTTAATGTAATCCAAAAATGCCACCAGCTTTTTTCACAGAACTAGAACAAACAATTCTAAACTTTGTGTGGAACCATGAAAGATCCTGAAAAATAAAACTGGAGGCATCATGAGTCCACATATCAAGCCATATTACAAGCTAAAGTCATCAAGACAGTATGATACTGGCACAAAAACAGATACATAGATTAATGGAACAGAATAGAAGACCCAGAAATGGACAGACAACTATATGGCAAACTAATCTTTAACAAAACAGGAAGGAATATTCAATGGAAAGAAGACAGTCTTTTCAACAAATGGTGTTGGAAAAACTAGACAGCAGCATTCAGAAGAATAGAACTGGACCACTTAGACCATACACAAAAATAATCAAAATGGATGAATGACCTAAATATGAGATAGGAACCCATCAAAATCATAGAGGAGGACATAGGCAGCAATCTCTTTGACATTAGCTGTAGCAGCTTTTCACTAGACACAACACAATCAGAGGAAAGGGAAACAAAGTGAAAATGAACTATTGGGTCTTCATCAAGAGAAAAAGCTTCCGCATAGAGAAGTAAACAATCAACAGAACTAAAAGCCTAGAGAATAGGAGAAGGTATTTGCAAATGACATAGCTGATAAAGGGTTTATATTAAAAAAAAAAAAAACTATGAAGAACGTATCAAACTCAACACCCAAAAAACAAATAATCCAGTTAGAAAATGGCAAAGGCATAAATAAGCACTTTCTCAAAGAAGGCATCCAGAAGGCTAGCATATACATCAAGAGATGCTCAATATCACTCATCAATAGGGAAATACTAATCAAAGCCACGATGAGATAAAACCTCACACATGTCAGAATGGCAAAAATTAACAACCCCAGAAATGTCAGGGGTTGCTGAGGATATGGAGAAAGGGGAACCCTCTTACACTGTTGGTGGGGATGCCCACTTGTACAGGCACTCTGGAGAACACTCTGGAGAACAGTATGGAGGTTCCTCAAAAAGTTAAAAATAAAACCACCCTATAATCCAGCAATTGCCCTGCTAGGTATACAAAGGATACAAAAATACAGATTTGGACATGCACATGCACCCCAGTATTTATAGCAGCATTATCAACAATAGCCAAAATGTGGAAAGAGCCCAAGTGTCCATCAACTGATGATAGATAAAGAAGTGGTATATATGCAATGGAATATTATTGAGCCATCAAAAACAATGAAATTTTATCATTTGCAATTACATGACTGGAACTAGAGTGAATTCTGCTAAATGAAATAAATCAGTGAGAAAGACAAAAATCATATGATTTCCTTCACATGTGGAATTTAAAAAAAAAACACACACACATGAACATAGAGGAAGGAGGGAAAAAAAAAGAAAAAAGGAGAGAGAAAGAGGGAAAGAAACCATAAGAGACTCAATGATAGAGAACAAACTGATGGTTGATGGAGGGAGGGCAGTGGAGGAGGATGGGCGGGATGCGTGATGGGTGTTAAGGAGGGCACTTGTGATAAACACTGGGTGTTATATGTAAGTGATGAATCACTGAATTCTACTCCTGAACTCAAATTAAATAAAAATTACATTAAAAATCTGCGTGTTTAAGGCATTATACTTATTGCCAAGAAGATTTTAGAAATGAATTATCTGAAAGGCTTGAACTAAGCAAAGATAAGGATGGAAGAGGAAAAGGATAAACAAATTGTGTCATGGTTTCACTTTTATAAATATCTTGAATCCTAGTGCATGCCTTCTTCCTAACACTGGAAACATGCGGAAGTTTAAAAACACTACTTACTCTTCCTCTTTATCCAGTCTTTCTTTCAGGGCTGAGTATTCTGTTTTTTTCTGGCTTCCGACATTATTCTGACTCATACCCTTTTTAGCTATTCCTTTCCCCTGGAAATGTTCTTTTGGTTGGCATTTCAGGATTTCAAAATTCTTAGGTGATCTGAAGTTTACTCTAAGGATACATTTCTGTCTCCAGACTCTTTTGTGAAATGAGATCACTGCAGCCATGTAACTGAATTTGCTTTATCACTCAATCAATACTTCTTTCACAGAGAGGTGGCAGGAGGAATCTCAGGGAAAGCAGGGGCCGTAAGGGAAAATGAGTTTGAACAGAAATGGGGGCAACAAGGGCATATAGGAGAATTTTTTTCAAAGTAATATAGAGAAATAAAGATTGATAGGATAAGAATCATTGCCTGCAAAATTGTCTTATAGCTCTTTTCTTTGTTTTTACTCTGTGTATCTTTCTATCATCTATCTAAGCCCAGCTCTTTCCCACCCATTCATTCTTTTACTTTATTTTACTGTTTTATTGAAAAATCTATTGAGTCCACATTCCTCTTTCCTAAGTCAGTTATTAAAAATGAATAGAAACCAGGAATTCAGTTAAATAAAAAGTTCTTAATAAATATGTATTTACATGAGTTCCAAATACGTGCATGGTTTTGTGCAATTTTTACAACAGTCCTGATTGCTGTTAATAAATATGTAATTAGTTCTATTTTATAAGAAGGAAAACGCAGACACTGAGAAACTAAGTAATTTACAAAAGTTAAAAAACTTAAATGAAAAAGAAGCAAGATAGAAATTAAGAATCCTAAATTCAAAGTTTTTGACAATTATTAATTTCTTCAAAGTTTGTGGTACTCTTATGCTTTCCTCTAAAAATCCAAACAAAATAAAAGACACCAATAGCTATTGCAGATAAAAATAAATTTGTTTCTCTGATTATATCTATTTCACTTTGTTCCAAATAATTTTAAACATCCAAAGTACAGGACTATTTCCTTCAAAAACACATAGTCACACTCTCATTATATTATTTTTATATATTTATTTTATTTTATTACTTAAAATAGTAACCTTTTACACAATTAACTTCAAATAGGAAATATGTATAGATGTATAATTTAAGGTAAGATTCTTTAAAAATAAAGACCAAATATCCTTGAGAATATAATGCTAAGTGAAATGGGCCAGAGGCTTGTACCGCATAATTCCACTTACATGAGGTATCTGAAAAAATCAAATTCATAAAATTAAGGACAGAAATGAAGGTTACCAGAGTCTGGGACAGGGGCAGGGAGGAGAAAATGGGAAATTATTACTCAACATGTATAGATTTTCAATTAAGAAACATAAATAAGCTCTAGAGATCTGCTGTATGACACTGTACCTATAGCCAGTGATAATGCTTGTACACTTAAAATTTTGTTAAATGGTTAGATCTCATTTTAAGTGTGTTTATCATTGTAAAATTTTAATCAGATAGATAGATGATAGATAGATAATATATAAATGTAAATATATATGTATATATCTTTTTTTAAAGTAACTGAATAAAGACCAAACAAGAACTACACCAAAAGTAAAACTTAATGAAAATGAAAGATCCATCTTCTTTTTAATTTAATACTATGTGAGTTTAGAATTTTGAAGTAGTTTGTGTTTAAATATTTTTGTTTTGAAGTGTGAAAAACATATGGTTATGTATATATAATATTTTAATTTATTTCAATTTATGCAATTCATTGATTATTCAAATTAATTTTTGAAATAAAAGCATAAATTCTGCATTATTTTTCATTATTTGATATTTTATAAAAATAATTTCTGCTATAAATGAGTTTTATAATCATTAATGAAAGTTGGAATGATAAGGCATTTGAAAGCAAGATCATTTAAGTTAAAATGAGACCTATAAGCAATGCCATCAAAAAGTCAAATATTATTACAATTGTTTTAATGATATACATGTCTGCTGTTAATTGGTTCTTCTTATATATCAGCTGAAAAAGTATTTTTTCTGTAAAACTTTACTTAAAATGTTCATTAATTAGTCATTTATATTTGAAGAGCTTGGTAAAAAAGTTTTCATAGGCATAAACTTTTAATTTTTATTTTAAAGTTTATTAGTATAGAGAAACTCTCTCTTACATTAAACTGAGTCTAAAAATATAACTTTATATTTTATATTTCTTCATTTTGTAACTAATCACATATTCTGAAAAGAAACACTTATCCTAATTTTAAAAGATTTACACCTACATTTATACATGAAC